CCAAGCCTCCCAAGGGGGTGGAGGGCGGTCATAGAATCTCCTCAGTTCAAACCTGCAAAGCAAACAGCAAAGTCTGAACTGAACAGCAGTTTTGGACCACCTTAAATCGCTCCCAACGCCTGCAACATGCTTCACTATCCTAAGTAATACAGATAGTCCTCAACCTATAGCCACAATTGAGCCCAAAATTTCTATCGTTAAGTGAGACAGTTGTTAAAGGAGGATTGCCCCATTTTACCACCTTTCTTATCACACTTGTTAAGTGATTCACTGCACTGTTGTGTTAGTAACATGGTTGTAAAGTGAATCTGCCCTCCCCATTGACTTTGCTGGTCCAAAGGTGGCAAAAGGTGATCACGTGACCCTGGGTACTGTTGCAACTTCAAGAGGTTCACTGCACAAAGGGTTGTAACTCTAGGACTACGTACCTCTATCCCAAAGGCTCCAAGTTATTTGGAGCATACATTTTATTACATTGCAGAAGCTAATAATATTTGGAGTTGTGAAATTTAATTTGGAAGTGTGAGCTGTTTTGCCAACTCTGACGTCTTTTAGCTTTCCTAGCAGTTATTTTTATGTTTGGTTTTCCTTTTTTTAAAAAAAAAAAAATCTGTAACAAGCAGTACATGCTACAGTAATCCAAGGGCAGAATTTTAAATATTCCCATTGCTCAAAGCAGCATCAATTTAAGTCACTAGCGAAAAATCTGCTCAATATTTTCTATTGCAAACCCCAAATAGACAATAGCTACATTTCTTACCATACACTAAAGCAACACCCCTCCCCTCAACCTTTTGGGCAAGGTTCCATGGAAAGGGGTTTATACACGGACCTTAGGAGGCATGGTTTCACGTGCGGCCTGAAATCCACGGATGGGGTTTTGCTTGTTTGAACAGCCCAGTTTCTGGCATGCCACAGACCGGTGCCAGTTCATGGACCAGGGATTGGGGTGTCCTGAACTAAAAGATTTTATTGCCTTAAGGTAAAAGTTTCCCCACACATGCATGCTAGTCGTTTCTGGCTCTAGGGGGCAGTGCTCATTTCTGTTTTTAAGCCAAGGAGCCAGCACTGTCCGAAGATGTCTTTGTGGTCATGTGTCTGGCATGACTAAATGCCGAAGGCACATGGAGCACTGTTGCCTTCCCACCAAAGGTGGTCCCTATTTTTCTACTTGCATTTTTTAATGTGCTTTTGAACTGCTAGTTTGGGAGAAGTTAGGACAAGTAACGGGAGTTCACTCTGTTAATGGCACTAGGGATTCGAACTGCCTAACTGCAGACTTTCTGATCAACAAGCTCCGCATCTTATCCACTGAGCCACTGCATCCCTATTGATTACCTTACTTCTATGTATTTAAACATATAACCCAGATTTCTGACTTCCAGACCTAAATCCATTTCAAACATCTGGAAAAAAGGATATATAATGTCTATAGAGATTCTCAGTCATCCAGGTCATGGTTGTCCCAAAGGTGCATTTTTCAAGAGGCAACTGGACTTTCTGGTTTTTCTTTGAAGACATTTCACTTCTCGTCCAAGAAGCTTCTTCAGCTCCGAGAAAGCTTCTTGGATGAGAAGTGTGAAACGTCTTGAAAGAAAAACCAGAAAGTCCAGTTGCCTCTTGAAAAAGCACCTTTGGGACAAGGATACATAATATCTATGTTGCAAAATCCAACCTCTGCAAAACCTAAAAGCCCATTGCAGATTCAGAAGGAACATTAACACCAAACTCAGATCATGTGGCAGAGACAATTGGGTCAAACCATCATGAATCAGTGAATCATCCCCTTTTTATTTATTTCCTAGCCATGTGCTTTTCACGCTGGCATATACGCATTCTGGGCCGATAGCACCTGACCTGACTTAGCGCTCACCAGATGTGTTAAAACAGCTGTCCTGCAGCGCCTGTGGATGTAATGTTATTTGTGACTAAAGCTGACATAATTTTTAAAACTTTATTTAGAAAACCTTGAAGCATAGGATTTCGTCTGTTCTTTTCACTAAAATATACCTAATACTCCATTTTCTGTTGCTTTTAAAAAAAAATAAGGCTGGATTGATTGGTGTGGCAGAACATGGCACACTTTGTACTTTTGATACAGAAATGTTAAACGTTTCCCCGCCTAGCCTTAAATTTCGTA